TGCAGTTGGCGGCGCAGAGTTCGCCCCGCGATGGCCCCGGTCGGCGGCCGTCCCGCTACCACGGCCCTGCGGCTGCTGCGCTGCTTTTTTGGAGCTGGAAGCAGCGGGAGAGTTTGGCTGTGGTGTAGGAAAAGGGTTGGAGCAGATGCGCGCTGTCTGGAGGTTACGAGAGCTGCATAAAAGCACAGGCTCTCCCAGCGCCCGAGGAGGAGCTCGCAGCTGCCCTCATTGTATGGTTCAAAGAGAGCTGGCGGCAGCCCCGGCTCCTGACTGCTTCTCCCTCCAGCTTCCCTGGAAACCGCCCGGGAGGCGTTTTTATTTTCCAGGCGCTGCAGTGCCACCCGTGGCTTGCCGTGGTAGCCAAGAAAGGACGGCTGATCGACAAATAGAGAAATGTGAGACTGTTCCCGAGCTGCCAGCGTCACGGCCTGGAGCCTGGCCGGCTCTGCTGTGACCCAGGAAGGGGATTATCAGCCACTCCTGCCCGGGGACTTTAAGTACCAACACTCGGATTCCTCAGAGTCTTGTTCAAACATGTTTTTGAGGTCCCTGTGATTCAGCTTACACACCTCAATACTGATCTGCGTTGGGGAATACCTGCCCGTGCCCGTAGTGCTCTGTGTCTCTCAGAGGTGGGAGCTGGCTTGGAAAAACCCTCTCACAAAATACCCACCATTTTTTGCAAGTCCCACGCTGAGACGTTGGACCAGCTGCCTTTCTCTCCCGTGCTGCTGGCTCACTACTTGTTATTGCAAAGTTGCGTGTTTGTGCCAGGCAGGCTGTTGTTCCCCACTGATTATTTTGCTTTTGCAAGCATGGTGTCTTGCAGCTATAGCTGTGGGCTGATTTAGGAGTAAGGTATCTACAGCAGTTTGTGATGGTTGCAGTGAGAAGAATGACCCTGCTGAGCAGCTCTTGTGTCTGGAAAGCTCACGCTTTGGGAAGCACACGGTGGTTCCTCTCTTTGCAGGATTACTGAAAATCCCTTAACACCAGTGCAGTGGCATGGACTTGGAAAAGTGTGCTTGGGCTGCAGACTGCACTAGTTTTCTGTTGTTGGAGTCTGAGAATTTTTTCTGACATCAAACCAGGTCACTTTACTCAGGATACAGAGATTGGCCTGGCTTAGGCCTACCTCAAACTGAAGAGGTCACCGAGTGAATAAGACCATCTGCTGCCCGGGGCAGCCAAAGGCGGGTTACCTGCAGCCACTGCAGGAGAATTCCTGGGAAGTCTGAGTCGGGATCAGATCCAAACATGGCTCTTTGTTCCTGAAGATTTACATTGATTTCAGTAACTTGTCACCATATTTCCTGGTATTAGTAACCTAGGAACAATGTTTCTGTTTGTGGATGGTCTAAATTAAGAGGATTATACCCAAATCCTGCTTCTGGACACACCTAACCTTAGAATTCACCTTAGCATCTTAGCTTGGGCTGCGTTTGAGCTCAGAGGATGTGACACATCCCGTACCTTCAGTTCGGCAGTATTGGCACGTATCGTTACTAGGTTCCTCTGTTCATTCACAACATGACACTAAACATGAGCCTGCTACACACAGCAAGCAGGAAATATCTATTCAGTGTGTGTCCTCCGCTTCCTCCGGGCTCCGGCAAATCCCAGCAGAGAAGCAACTTATCACTGCCGAGGTTCTCACTTTTGTTTTGCTCAGTGTGACACCTTTTCCCCGCCACCGACGTGTACGTGTGTGAAGATCTTTTCAAGTTGCTCCAAGTGTCTTTCCCCTAAATACACTGTCAGGAAGTGAGTAGAGATTATGTCCTGTCTTTTAAAAGCTATTTTCTGCTGGAGGGAAACCAAAATAACTTCCAGCTACAACCCTCCAGAGCCATCTGTTGTAGGAGAGGAGAAAAAAGGATGTCCCATGTAACCGTCCCTGCTGATAACAGCGTGGTGATAAACAAATAGTTGTACACGTGCTTCGGAGCCACTCGGTTACTGCTCCCAATCAGAGGTTGGAGGCTGTATCCATGCCCTTAGTCACTGGCCTATGGGATAATTCCCAACAAACCAACTGTACCTGGTTCCCAGCAACAGGCACTGTCTTGGCTGGTACACACATTGCCTCTAGATCTCTCGTTTAGCCTCGAGCTCACTGCACTTGTGTGTGCTCAGCACTGGGTATGGGGCTCTCTGCAGGCTCTGTTGGCCGTAGGTGTCCTCAAGGCCTAAGCTTAACCTAAGGATGAGTGGTTGAACTTATTCTACAGGGACTTGAAACCTCGTCTTTTTACTGGTATAATTTTATGATTTTGCTTGCATTTCATACAGAATATAACTGATTTTTTTTTGTTCTCTTTTTTTCCTTAAAGCTTGAAGAAGAATTCCAAAGAACGGCCGACATACCCAGAGCTTATGGTGAGTGTGCCTGCATTAAGCAGTGTATTAGTTCAGAGTCAAGATGGATTACAGTGAGATGCTGAAGACAGGGTTTCCAACAGTGGCTGGTGATTTGGGATACTTAGCATCTCTTTTTCCATAATAGATGTGAGAATCATGGCACTTCAGTGTCTTAGGAGGGTGACTGCAAATCAGAGATGCTCTGTGAAATCTTGTTCAGGTGCTATTCGAGTCAGATCAATGGAGAAAAATATGTAAAATCTGTTCACGAATTTGTTAAGGGATGAGAGCAAGGCTGTGAAGAATCAGTTAGCAGGGATAAAATCCTCCTCTTGGGTTTGTGCAATGGCTTCAAACACCTGAGTGAAATAGATGCACCACGGATGCTCCACGTGGTCTGCAGGAGCTGAGTGATCTGCTAGGCTTTGCTGTCCTGGTGCTTCAGAGAGGAGACTTTTTGGACAGAGTAGTTCCTGGATGTTAGGGACAGAGACGAGTCTGTGACTAATCATTCCGGTTATTGAATTTCTTCGGCTGCTTAGAGACTTTTTGCTGTGAGCGTGTCTAGGATGGAGGAATAACTAAGGAAGAAAATGCTGATAAAAGCTTACTACAGGGGAAAAGCAAAGCAGTGCGGGAGTTTGAGGTCAGATGCACTTAAATGCAGATGAACTTCCAGCAGTGTAGACATTGGTGTATACTCAGCCAGAGCTCTGGGCCGGAGCTGGCAAGAAGAGGGTCTGTGATGAGATTTTTCTTCTAGGGCTCCACAGCTTCAGGGCCACTCTCTCTCCTGACTTTCAGGTATTGATCCTGGTGCTCTGATAGCTGGCAAAAACCCAAGAGAGCTTAGGAAGTCAGTCTCTGACTCCCATAAGCATTTAGTCCCTGCCTCACCTGATTCGCAGCTTGCTAAAAGCAGGATGATGCCTGACTTATTTCTGAAGATCCTGACCCAGCTGCTTGCCTGCCCCTGAATGTCCACCCCTGTGGGTGGAAACTGCTGCAGAATTTCCTCAGGCATTGGTGTCCCCTGCCCCATAACTTGTAGGACATGCATTATGCTCTCCAGGGTGTCAGCCTCGTTGCTGCCCCGTGCTGTGTGTTCAGAGGTGTTGGGACCTCTGTGGTGTGAAGTTGCCAGGGTTTTAAGGTGCTCTCCAGCTGCAAGATTATTGAATAAATACATACATCTTTTAAGCAAATTTCTGAAGTTTGCCAAATGGCCTTTTATCAAAAAGGTTCACCAGAGCAGCTCCATCTGTTGCAGCATTAATACCCACTGGCAAGCGAGTGCATTTCTGTTGAATTAGGTTCTTGGATCACCTCTCCAGAGTATCTCAATGCTGTGGTATTTTATGGCTGACATGAATGTTGTGAGGTCCTGTGGTTGAGGGCTGCTGTTTTGTTGGGTTTTTTTTCTCCCTTCTCTCTCTCTTACGGCATTAAGTTGCGGTACTGGATTGGACTTGTCATTTAGACCAAGACTGCTCCCTTGCTTTCCTGTTGAGGTTTCTCATGGAAAATATGACTCTATGCTATCTTGAGCATCGGGAAAACTGATACAGATGCTTAATTTCGTTTAAAAACCCACTTCCCCAGGTGAAGTGAAGCATGAAAGTACTGCAGGACCAATGGTCTGCACACTGCATGGAGCACATCCTACCTGGCACGGGTTGGTTTTTTTTTTGCTATAACCAGGCTCAGTTGTTGCAAAAGAGGTCGGGTTCACTGAGAGATGTGGGGCTGGAGGCCACTGCTGTCACCCGTGTCACGCTTGTGGGTGCTTCCAGGCTGCGGTATCTCTGCTTTGAGTGTGACTTAGCTGGGATGTGAAAGCAGCGGCATCACGCTGGGATGATATTGCAGCGTGCCGTTTGGACCATCTCTCTGAGAGTTATTCAGGACACTTCGATTCCCGTGACTGTCTGACCCAGGCAAACCTAAAATTATGCCTGGATCCTTGCCTCAACCCATTTCAGCTCTGTTTCCCACATAATTGTGCTTCCTCTTCCTTGCTGGTGTGTCTTTGGGTTGGTTCCCGGCTGCTCAGACCTGCCTCTATTCACTGGGTAACTTTCCACTCCAGCCCATGCTGGGTTTCTTGCTCTTCTTCTCCGCTTGGCCACTGCCATAAATGATCATTGAAGCAGCCAGTGCTTAGGGACCAAGATGAGGGGCAGCTTTGAAAAACCCTGGAACCCCAAAATTGTTTTTAAAAATCTGCCTTGAAACGAGAGGGTCAGGAGTCAAACTAAGCTCCCCCAGCCTGCATATGGGATGCACAAAAGCATTTTGCACAGAGCACACACCTGCCCTGCAGGGCCCCAGCTGCCTTTTTGGTTCTCTCTGACATCTTCCATACAAATAAATGCAACTAACTGCCAGGATGGTGGGTGTCAAACAGTATTTTGGTGATTTCAGGTGGAAGTTGGCTGATCTCAGCTGATGTGTTGCAGCCCCTGGTAGCAAACTGAGTCGCTGGTGCTAGCAGAGAGAGGCTTTGCTCTTGCTGTCAGGGGGCATTTGGTTGTGTTTTTGTTCTCCTTACACATGTTTTTCTTTTTGTGCTGAAATGTAGGCAGGATTTTCTGGCAGGATATCTTCCCATGTTGGTCAGGATTAAGTAGTTAAACCATACAGCTGCGGGTGGCTTCCCAGCCGGGACGGCTTTCCTCTTTGCGGTGGTTAGGGGTGAAGTAGCCATCTCCTGCTGCGAGTATGAGCAATTGCAGGGCAGAAATGAGACTCAAAAGTCACCAGAGGGTAAATACACAGATAAAGCAGGAAGCTGAGGGAAAACCCACTGCAGCCAGCCTTCCTGCAACGTTTGCCTTGCACCCGGTGGGCTGGGTAACCACCACCTCAGGAGGAGCACACCTCCTCCCAGGGCACCACTGAGCTGGGAGCCAGTGTGTGTTGAAGGGAACAACATGCTAGAGATGGAGGGAATGTTTTTTAATGCTTTTCCTTGCTCTGAGAGCAGCCCAGCTCAGCCCTCCCAGCCAGGGTAGGGTATAGAGGGAATCCAAGAGGGCAGCACAAATCTGCAGCCTTCACGAAGTGGCCCCTTGGGCTTGCTGACTTGCTTCAGCTCCAAAACGCAGGAAGCACAATATTATGATGCTGGTGACAAAATCTTTCTCACTGTCTTGAGGCTTTTCTGAAAAGGTCTTAGGTTTGGTCCTCAGTGTCCTGAATAATAAACTTTTCCATTTTTTTCTCTCTTTTCTTAACCAGCAACATCCTTTCTTCACCCTGCACGAATCCAAAGAGACAGACGTCGCCTCTTTTGTCAAACTCATCCTGGGAGAATGAGAACTGGACTTGTAAATGAATTGCCCTTCTGTGGACTGGTGGGTGCAGGGGAGGGGCACGTGGCAGGACTTGTCTTGAAAGCACCAACAGAAAGTCGCCGTATTTTGTTTTGTTTTGTTTTTATTCTGAGAAACTCCCGCCTCGCCGAAGTTTTTTAAAAGGGTTCTTTGGTATCCATAGTGACATAGAATGAGCTGGTTAGTGAAATGAATTTTAATAAGGTTGGTAACCTTAAAACAAAAAACAAAACAGCAAAAAAAGATTTGAAAAGAGTGATTTACATATTTAATGACAGTCGAAGTCCCTCTTCCTAACTTTCTCCTCACCCCCCTCGCCTTCCCCCTGAACCAGAATTTGCTTTGTCATGGTAATAGGTGCTACGGTAGTCATGAAGTTGTATGTAGATTTATATTTTGTCCCTTCCATTATTTTAATATTTATGTTAAGTGCTTGATGGAATAGATTTCTGTTTTATATGAGGATGAATGCGTGGTGATGATGATGATGATGCTAACTGAGGCCACAGCAAGCAGTAGTTGTAGGGCTTTGCTGGGGAAAAGGTGTCAAAGGAAAGGAGGAAGAAGAGTAGAAATGTCTGTGTTGTGGAAAATATTTAATGTGCATCGTAAAATGAATTTATAAGCAAGGATCTCAGCTCAGCCACTCGAGCTGCTTTTGCAGCGTGTGAGGCAGCATCACTGGAAGGGAGGCAGGCCCCAGTGTCCCGTGAGGTTGCCTCTTCTCCGGACACCGCGCTCCGACTGCGGCTGGCACGTCCCCACCACCCGGAGAGCCCCTGCCCCACGTCCCACCCACTTACTCGGCTCTGTCGGGTGGGCGAGGAGGTTTGGCGTGAGAAGACATTGCTGTGATAGGAAATAGGTTGTCAGATAAGTTGCACAAAGATCAGGAGGAGGCTGACTGCAAGTCAGCCCCCACCTGCCCGTGAGTCCAGCAGCAGCGTTGCAGCGCCTGGGGCTCCCTCAGGCTGGGGATGAGCTGCTTTGGGCCTAAAAGGGAGTTCTTCTCTGCATCTCCGTATAAGAAAAGGTAATGGTATGCGTAGCGTGACACCTGTGAAAAATGGGATGTCTCAGCGCGTTTCCAGGGCTCTCGGCACTGCATCGGCAGCAATCCCTGTGTGCTTGCCCGCAGACTTTGGGAGTGCGAGCGAGCTCCCCTGGAGCCTGTGCCAGTTTGGGCCAAATCCGGCTCTGGTTGGGATGCTGAAGGCAGCCAGGAGCACTGGGCTCCAGCACGATCTGCAGGTGTCTCCCACGAGAGCTGCAGCCTGGGAAGCCACGTGAGGAAACCACAGCCCACCCCTACCAGGAGTTTGTTGCTGCGGACCAAGTCCTCCGAGAAAAGCTGCCAGCCGAGGGCAGGGGTATGGGGATGGGAGGGATCGGGGAGAAGACGACAGATCGCACCGCTTTTAGGTAACACAGTTACTGCCTAGAGAAAGGGGGAACCATGCACTGCAAGGTGTTGGTGTCAGTCTGGAGCAAGGCCACCACATTAACGCTGGTTTGACTGAGCCAAATCTGCAGAGCTGCCTCACTGGGCTGTGAAGTCCTTTGCCTTTGCCGGTGGCTCCTTCCTCTGGAGAAGGAGAGTGCCCGTGCACGTGGCTGCACTCGTGCCTCTCTAAATGCTTCCCTTTCCCCATCCTCACTTTGGAGTGGACTCTCAGAGCCAAACCCCAGCTAGAAGCACGCCTTGCTCTGTGATATTTAAGTTGTGTAGGATGTAATTCAGCCTGAGATCCAGCCCTTCCTGTCCCAGTTCAGTGGCTCCACTCTGTAGGTGCAGGTTGTGCTTCTGAACTGGGCTGAGCATCTGTTTGGGAAGCGATCCCTTGGAAGGGCTTGTGGGGAGGGCAGTATTTAGAGCAGGGATTCCCGAACGGTGACACCTCTTCTGCTGGGGACATGCTGACCACACTGAAGAAGCGCATGTAGACACCACCAGTGCCCTGGGCTGCCACTGTCACTGCCACAGCCACGCCTGCAGAGGTGGCAGTGAACCCCGAAATAGCGCAGCTTTGCCCTGGGGCCAACATCGAGGGAGATGGAGAAGCGTTGCTCATGGGTATTTATCGATCCCTGGTACCCCTCACCTGCAGAACAGGGTAACTTGAGGAGGGCTTGCAGGAATCGAGGTGTGGGGTTTTCCTTGCTGCAAAGAGCTCACGGGTCACAAAAGATTTTGGAGAAGAGGTTCCCCTTCCTCAGCTGTGTTTCACAAGCCTGCCTGGCCCTCGGTAACGATAAGCTCTGTATTCTGCTTTGCGTCGAGGGGAACCTTTCAGGTTGCGTTTTGTTGCAGATGAAACACAAGGATGTTTTACTTTGCAGCGTAATTTTAAGAGGCCTCGCATGGCTCGTAATCTGCCCTCTCATATTCCATGGGGTGTGTGTGTGTTTTCTCTCTCTCGCTTTCTCAGAGTCGCAGAGCTGTTTTGATTGATTGTCCTCAGCTGCAGCTAGAAGTCCAGCCAGCCAGTTTATAGACTTGGTTCCAGCATCAATTCTCGCTTTGAAAAACATGACATTTAAAACCACCCTTTGGTTTTTCTACATATGGATCTGATGCTTTTGTTAAAGATTGTTTTTGCCGCTTTTCTCCTGGAATATAAGTCTCATTTGGACACCACATCTCCTTGACCTCAGAGCACCTTTATTTCAGTGCCATTGTAATTGACAGGTTGAATTTATAAGATACTGTCAAAGTTCAGTATTAATAGCAGATATTAATGTCACCAGCATTTTCCAATAGAGAATTAATGTCAGTGTTGTCTGCAGCTAGTAACCCTCTAAAATGATTCCTACATGCCTTGACACTACATGCTGAGTGCTTTCTTTTATGCTTTTTGCTCTTGTGGTGCTTGGGCCGTCTAATCCCTTTGTTTTAATGACATTGCAATAGGGCACACAACAAATCACTTCCCTTCTGATTCTCCATGACTTTGTTCCTTTAAAAATCATTTGCGTCAGCCCTGAGTAAGCGTGAATCCATATGACCGGTGTGACTGAGAACAGGGATCTGAGTGAACACCACTGCGGAAGGTGGTTACGGCAGGTGAGGAGCGCAGAGGCTGGCTGTCAGTCTCTGCATCCCTCATGGCAAGTGTGGACACAAAGCTTGGCCCGACCCAGGATTTTCTTAGAGGGAAGCCTGAGCTGGTGGCCTCGGTGCAGGGAGGAGAGCCAGGGACTCCTGCGTGCTTAAAAGCTCTGCAAAGATGCTGGGCTACAAGATGGAAATCTGAGCCTTTTCTCTTTTGTTTGGTTGTAACCTCTGTGAAGATGAAAAGGCTTTGGTCAGTGCGCAGAAGTTTGCTTGGCTATAACATGAGCACGGGGTTGCCTAGGACATTCCAGCCTTGGCCATTCTGTGGTTCTATGTATGGTTTCTGGGGCATGAAGCCTTTCTCAATGGCCATGCCCCTTGAACAGCCAAAGTGTTGAGGCTTAAAGCTGGTCTTCAGAAAGCTCTTTTGTTTTCAGACAGAACAGGACTGTAGGCAGCCTGTCCGAATGTCTTGAACTGGAATTTTTAAACTACATAAAAAGCAGGTCTCGTGCCATAAACCTGAAACAAACCAAAACCACACCAGGGAGCAGAGAGGAGAGGAAAGATGCTAGGAGCTCAGCCCTGGACCAGCTGTGTGAATTAATTCCAGCACAGTTGGCCATTTGCAAGGCAGGGAGGGCTTTTACCCTCTGCCACAGGCTGTGGTTATTGGGCTGCACAAAAGATGCAGAGCCCATCCCCTTGGCAGGCAGTGGGGGACTGTCGGGGCATGGTGTTCATCCTCTTTTTTCCTCCATCATGCACCTCTGGAGGTTCCCACAACCTCCTGGTTGACTGAGGCCTCACCATCGGTAGAGTTCTTGAAGTGTCACAGGCAGGAAAGGTATTTTCTGGGTCCCCAAGAGCCCACTGGTCCCTTAAAGCTGAAAGAGGAGTTGGAGGGCGTTTTCTGGTTACTGTTTTTTAATGCCAGATTCATGCTGCTGCAGTGGGTGAAATGCCCATCTTTTCTGGAGTCTTTCCAGGTGAATGAAACATTACACAGATACCATGTACTGTATTTCTGTTCTTTTCCTGATTTTCGTTGGGTTTACTGCTGAGGAAGGAGGCATTTCTGACTTGTTCAAGAAGTGGAACCCTCATTTCTGGAGGCAGCTGGCCTCCCGTGCGCGATAGCGGACACAGTTGCTGGGTCACTGCTGAGAGAAAGCTCTAAACAAAAGACGTGCAGTTGAGCTCCCAGTTGTTCAGCGGGTGCAGAGGGAGGTGGTCGTGTGCCTGGTGGGTCAGTGCCAGCTGCACCTTCTCTTGGTGGGAAGGAGCTGCCAGGCCTGGGGCAGTGCCTGGTGCTGAGGGCAGAAACACCAGCATCCACAGCCTTAGCTGGGATTTCTCCATGCTTGCTGTACGCTGGGTACGTACCTGCACATTTCTCTTCTTTGCTAAACATTTTGGAAGAGGAAATTCTGCTTGGTCAATGCAGCATTGCTCTAATGGCTGGTCTGATGTAGTTCAGACAAGGTTTCCACCAGCTCCCTATTTTAATAGACCTCTTTTTGATTAAAAACAAACCCCAAACTCCTCTCTCAGAAAATCCAGCCAAGATGCTCTTTTTTTTTTTTTTTCCTCTCTCTCTCTTCCATCTTGTTCCTCTTAGAGGAACTCTGGGAGCCCGTCTTGGTGCTTTCACTCTTTCACATGCCAAAGACTGCTACATCCCTCTTAGTTACGCTCCTGCCAAACCAGATCTTATAGTCCTGCCTCAAAAATCATCCACTTCCCTGCTCCTTGGGGTTCCTTTTGTTGCTGTTGCTTTTTCATTGAATTTCCTTGTGTTTATTGACATGTCTATTGTTGAGCTTCCTGGACACATGTAGCTCTCTTTTTCGGATACAGAGAAAGACAAATAGTTGCCTTCACTGGTCTATCCCTGCTGTTGGGGAAATACTGTTAGTGATATGATTCCTACAGATGGGGATGGGTCTTATTTAGAGCTAGGGTCATGGAGGGTGTAAACTGGTGTTGCTCCATTGGCTTGGCTGGAATAAGGCCAGTTGTGTCCAGCTGAGAATCTGTCCTTAATGTCTAAACAGTTATTACACACCAATAAAGATTAATGATTGTAAATCCCCACGGATTATACATAAAATGGCAAGTTTTACTCATTAATCTTTATTGCCATATTATAGCTGTTTATGTTAGAGGAGTCGTCTCTCTCTGTTCTGAACATGCACTTAGGAGGTGGGGGCTGAGCATGGGGGAGATGAAGGGTGGACAAAACAGACCAGATGTCCACGTGTTTTACAGTCTGTGTCCTCCCCCCAAGCTGGTTGTTTCCTTGAAAGCCGTTAACCAGCAGCAAAGGATGTATCACAGAGCTTTGTCTGCTTCGCTGGCCTCTGGCTGAGCTATAAAATCCAGATTGTTTCTGGTGAGAAGGGAT